ACCAAAAAAAAAAAAAAACGCAAAAAGCGCTCTAGCATTTTGAAACTACGTGTTTAAAATATGGCTGCTAATGAAAATGGGAAGTGTAGAAGAAGCTAACTAGAGGACAATGTCAAGTTCAATCATCTACCACGTAACACATCATTAGAACACTAATCTATATCCTAATAAAGCACAAGATAAAACAAGAAGCAACTGCTTTTAATATATGGTCAAAACCTTTTAAAAATCTATTTAGAAACCCCAATTATAGGTTTTACAACATAAATTATGGGTGGGACATCTCTCTCCCTACTTCTTATATGTTAGCAAATATGTAATATCTTAATAACCTCTCCAGAAATATTTTATTTAAATCTTTGGGAGATTTTATTTTATAAAAAGAAAAAATTACAAACTTACCGGGAGATAATTGGCAATAACTTTCCAGTCATCTGTTCCATTTTGTTCCACCAGCTTCTTTAGTTTTTCATCCTGACATATAAAGATAGTCCTAGGGTATCAGTCTCTTACTGAATAATTCTGTTCCAGTTATAGTGAACAAGGGAACCAACTGCATGATCTAATCCAGAAAAAAATCTCTTAAAATGATTCAATATGGTAGATGTTAATATTTTGCTTTAGAGCATATAATTATTTAGTCAGATGAGTTTTTAATCTTAGCTGTTGATTAGTTATATAAATTTGGGTGCATTATTTTACCTTTCCACACTTGAGCACTGTTGCCTGTAAATGGCAATTTGGATATCAACAGGGTAATGTGAGGATTACATGAGGTAATTATGCAAAACATTTATAATAATATTGAGCATTTAATGTATGGTAATTGTTAAGAGTTTTACTTGGTGGGAGAAAAATGAATTTTTATGTTAAACTCAGGAGCCATCTGGCAACAGATAAGATCTTAAGTAAGAAATAGAATCTTAGGGTGGGGATTTAGCTCAGTGGCACTGTGCCTGCCTAGCAAGCACAAGGTCCTGAGTTCGATCTCTGATACCAA